CGATCGTAATAGTAATTTATGTTTAATAACCAATAAAATATTATCGTCAATATATGTGTTAATTTCACTTGGTTATTAACTTTGAACTTTTTGTGCCATCTACATAATTGCAATAAGCACTATTTATTCATGATTGATGCAAATATGTGTACACAAATGATTTTTCAACATCTTTAATTAAAGGATGTGAAAATCTTTTGCATCGACGCGTCGCGTTAAAATAAAATGTGGAATAAAGCACACTGCCGGCCAAATTGAATGCTATATTAATATTATAACAGCTTTTCCATTATGAAATTTGCCTTTACGCTTTCGCGCTTGGATCGATCGCGAAAGTACGAGCGTACGCTTGAAATTACCGCCCGGCGAAACTTGTTACATTAGCAATGTCCGTGCATGATCGATTATCAACAGCTAATCCATTCTGGGGTACATTTCGCGTTGCATGCAAATAGTTCGTTCTCACGGTATGGATGGATACGTATCTATTCGTCGAAACATTAATCCATTAAGTGGTTCGTTTCTTCATCAAAATCCAATGTATATTCCAACATGTATGTGTAATTAAAGATGTGTAGGAATAAGTATGCACGTTTTGTGCAAAATAAATGTCACTGATATAATTAAACTTTAAAGAATGGAAATATGATGGAAGAGGAGAATAAGAATTTTTCTTTCTCGTAAAGAAGAAATAAAGTTACGACTTAATACCACAGTAGCCGACACGTCATTTATTCTTCGAGTTAACGCGATTCAGCTTTTATACATGTCATACGACATTCACTTAGGTAGATAAAGTATTTAATTTGAATAAATTACGCTGCATTCTAACGTTTATTACGTGCACTAGCTACACCAACTAATCAAATTATCGTTTAATCTCTCCGCGTAAATGTACGAATGTAGTTTGGTTTGTTGCGGAGAGCAGATCTAATTTCTAATTTAACACCACCCGAGGGTCAGAAGCAATAACTTGTTCTCTGTCTTTGTCAAGCTTCGAATCAGTACGCTTTTGATTGTATAATTTGCGCAAAAAGCAAATAGGTTTTCGAATCTATTTCACCACTGATTACAGATACAATTTAATTACACGTTTAATAGTGAAGGCTTAAAACTATATTAGATTGCAGATATTGTTATTTGGTTGGTAAACAATAGACACGGTTAATCGCCAACGAAATATATTTTTAGCTAATAGAAGACAAATACGATAAAAACATGAGTGTTTGTTAAAAAGTACTTTCACGCAAGAATGTCTCTCGTATTTTAAATCTGGTTATTGGTATAGGTAACATTTACGAGCGGCTTGCATTTTGCAATTATTTATAATGAGGAAACTTTCCAGATGGTTACTCATCTCCGAGCGGAAAATCAGTTTGTTAATTGTGCGAGATAATTATCGTTAAATGCTGCACATGACAAAGAAATATTTTGTTGTCATCGCTTCCCTCAACCATTTTCCAGAGCCTATGCGCAATCTAATATATCAAATAATTCAAAGATTTAACTTTCAATAAATAATAATTTTACACTTTTTCACTATCACGTTTCACAAGATTATCGTTAAAAAAAAAGTGAAAACAATATGAAATCTGTGCGAAATTGTTCTTTGTTTTTCGAAAGTGGGATTTTTAAGTCATAACAAAATTCGCACAAAAATATAAAAATTTTTATTATTTAAAATTCAATATCTAGATATCTGGATATGTGCATTGAAAGGTGCTTTAAAACAATTTTGTTGATTATATAGTATCGTCTTTATATTGTACATATATTGTACGTATATTTAATTAAAAGTAAAGGAGAAAAAATATATATATATATTTATTCTATCATTATCGAGTTAAAAAGACATGCCATTATTGAACAAATAATCGGCTTATTCATATTCAAAATGGTAAATGCAAACAATTAATATATTATTTGATGTTCTGATCAATAGATATTAAGGTACGCATCGCTCTGCTGGTTTATTTTATTTAAATATTTCGTTGCAATATGTCCCGATTATCGCATGCAGTGAAAAAGAGAATATCACAATGGTGGATCAGCTGAAAATATCAACTGTTTGCTTGCATAAATGAGTTTAAAAGGCGAACAAAGCGAGAGGGAACTCAAATTAGAGACTATCACTGTCAGTTTTCTCGCGGCGATCGTCGGAAAAGCTTGCTCGAATAGAGCTCTTGAATAGTAGCTATGTCGGGATGGTCTCTCCGGGTTTAAATTAGAAAACAATTTCATTAGCAGCCCAGAAGCTAGCGCGAGGTCCTTTTGTTCGCGTCGGTGTATAACCCGACGGTTTTATTCAACATGCGAGAATGCATCGAGAGTAATGCGAGGAACGGAGAAGGAAGAAAGGAAGAAGGAAAGATGGTGCGAGGGTAAGACTTGAATGTGAGAGACAGTTCAGTCGTTGGATTGGAAGAGTCCGGACTAACGGTTCCATCAACTGATTGCACACCTCACAACTTAGCGACGCGGAGTAGACGATGTCTGCGGTATTCGCTATTTCTTTCATTATGAACAAAATCAACAAAAAAAAAACTTATCCAACTTATGTACTTTAATGGCATTATCTCGAACGAGAGTTTTCAAAAGTTCTCTATTTTTTGTGATTTTTCCGTTTTTGTTATATTTCTAAAATAAGAAAGACCTGCAAATAATAATTTTCGTCTTTTATAATACTAGAATTAATATTAGTGTAAAGATTATAATCAAAATGCACCGCTCACATGTCAGATTTAATGATATGGTTGAGTTTCTAATTATGAAAATTATACCTGGAAAGTTTTCAAGTCCTGAGACTATTAACATTCCTCGGGAACGCGCAACCGAGCGAGAATAAAATACTTGATGAATCAACGAGATATCAACGCTTTTCTGTAAAAATTTCAGGGAGATTTGAAATAAAGTCGTGCGCTGAGCTCATTGACCAAACAAAGAGGCGAATGATTTGGATGGTCCGACGCCGCCTCGGATCTGCTTACAAAACAATCTTTCCATTTGAGTCGAATGCTACCTAATCTAATCTCCGTTACGACACTGAGTCGAAATCGAACTTGGCAGAATCCCTAGTCTCTGTCTGAAGGATTCTCGAAACTGGGCAATAACCAATCTTTATCTTGATTATACAGCGCCAACACGGCGAAAGCCAATCTCGAATCGAAAGTGGTTGCCAAGTAAGATCGTAAAGAATCAGAATCTATCGAGTAGTATTTCAGTCTGCAAAATCGGGGTCTGCAGTATCAGGCCGATACTTTGGATTTGCAATGGAAATCAATCGATACTATCGCGATTTTCCACTTTTTATTACCATATACATCATAATCCCTGTTGTTTGTTTATTTCGTTCTGACGGAATTAAAAATTTATAATGATATCAAATTATCAGTTACAAATTTTAAGATTTATTTTTTTGTTTGATAACATTTACAGACGTTCTGATTTTATTGAATAACTTCAAATATCGAGTTATGTCTTTTCATTGACACTAGAATCGGTGGATGATTAAGACCGCGGATGCCATTAGTTTTCCTTAGTTTTCAATGGATTTCGAGATCATCTAATAAAACTGTCAGGGTTGCCAGAATAAATGGGTCAACAGTTAGCAAAACGATCCGCGCAACGAACGCCATACGTGATATACGCGTCGCCGATGTCTGTAAAACTTAATAAATTGTTTTTGGTTTATGACGTTATAAATGGCGCTGTGTTTACGAGAGGCGAATTTATGTCACAGGTGATAGAATTAATGATAAAATTAGACAGCTTATCGATGAGCTAGCGAACGCGACGACGCGCACATGCTGTGATAACAAAACGCTTCTAGGGCATTCAGCGCGACATATGCATATCCTGTATTTGTACGTCATGACGTTAATTAAAATGATTGCGCGAGCATCTGGTAGGGTACTTAACTTCAAATATCGATTGAGGTCACCATTGCTACGTGAGGTGTTGATCGGAGTACATGTGTCGGACAACAGGATGCCACTTTGGCGGGATTTAAAATAGATATTCGGCCATTCACGATTGGGTTTTTACATTTCATATATTAATTAACCACTATGTCAAAAAATCAAAACACAGTAACGTTTTATCATTTGGACATACTTTAACATATAAATATTAGAATAGAATATATAGATATAAATTGAATTTATATTTTTACTTAAAAAGAAGAAATTTCTTATTTTCACAAAGTTTGTTAGATAAATATTTTAACATCAACGATTATTACTTAAATGAGATATTGAAATATTTATTTAACAAACATTGTGAAAATAAGAAATTTCTTTTTCTTTTTAAGTAAGTAAAAATATAAATTCAATTTATCTATTTTATCTATTTTATATTCTAATATGTACATAAAAGTACGTCAAACGCAAAGTGTTGATTGCAAGTGGATAAAGGAACAGATCGATACGAAGACGATAATGCGATTTGTTGCGGTCTAGAAATTTCCGTGATTATTGTTCCTGCGGCAGACCGATGCTCGCGGAAAAAGTGGTAATGGAAAGTTCTTCCTGACGCCGGATTCAACTTTTTGCGGAAACAATGCGTTCACGCAGTGTATCGCGATACGATTAATCAAATAAAAATTTACATTGTCCGGAACAATCGGTGGAAACTCATAATTTTGTAAATATTATATTCAGAGAAACATTAACGAGTCAATTTGTTATGTCACATTGCAAGCAAGAAATGAGATCCAACTTGATGAATAATATTTTAACATCCGATTGAACGCTGTAAGATAGCACAACGGAATATTCTAGTAGAATAAACGTAATGTGCGGCGATGCGAGAAAGTGTGAAACTGTGTGCCTCCCCACCGTATCAACGGAGATTGGAATGAAATTTAGGAATATTTGCGGTCGTGCGGATGAAAGTGGACTCGGCGGAAACATACGGCCGCGCCGTGACGGAAGTAGCTGGACCATCGATATTTAAGTGTCAACCGTAGTAACATCGGCCATCAGTTCGATCGAAACCGAGTGCGATCGAGATGGTGCGAGGTACGATGCTATTTCTGTCATTCATTGCAATATGTTCGCTCACATTGCACACGACGTGTCATGCCCGAGATTTGGCCAATGCGAAATCGCGCATCAGTCGACGCAATGTACAAGAGAACGATGACCACCATGTAGGTCATTTAGAACCTGCCGCAGAATCATCCTCGATTGCAAAAATAGACGAAACCGATCTTGAGACAGCAGCGACCAAACATAAGGGTCATCATCACGAATCCGGAGGTGGTCACAAACATGAATCTCATCATCACGAAGATCACGGTGGAAAAAGTGAAAAGGGGTATAAGAGCCATCATCATCATGACAAAGGTGACAGTGGTAAGCACGATGAGGAGCATCATGCCGGTCATCACGAGGAACACGGAGGCAAGAAGAAGGGCCATCATGATGAGCACGAGAAATATGGTGAGCATCACGAAGACGAGAAGGGTCATAAAGGTGGAAAGTTCGGTGAAAAAAAGGGCCACAAAAAGGGTCATAAAACCAAAGGTTATCACAACAAATTCCATAAGGATGAATTTCATAAAGAACATAAGTTTTACGATGATTATCATAAGGGTGGGCATCATGAGAAGCACGGCGATTTCCACGGTCATCATGAGAAAAAGGAAGGCCAGCATAAGAAGGGAGGTCATCATCATTCCGGTTATCATGAAGATCATCACGGCAAGAAGGGCCATCATGACAAAGGTCATCACGATGAGGAACATAAAGGTCATCATGGTAAACACGGCCACGAGGAGCACCATTCCCATCACGATGGATATGGCAAGAAAGGCGATCATCATTCCGGAAAGAAGTACGGCTATAAGAAGGGGCATTAGAGTTGTACGTTCAAATACGTATCAAAAAACGATTACTCGTTCTACTGTTACGGCTTATGTACCTGCTCCGGACCAAGTCACGCGACCAAGTCGCGCGATTGTTGTATTTTGTACCATTCTTTATATAGAATAAACCTGCGAATACTAACACGCGCAAAAAAAAAATCGTTTGATTGCAATTCGTTGACTTTTCTTTCTCCTTTAAGTTCTTAATGGAACAAATAAGTTTCTCCTTCTCCTCCCCTCCCAGCCCATATTTGTCCCAGCAGCTACATTACAGTCAAGACGGCAACGTGATATTACGCCTTATCGATTCCTTACGATTTATTGCCGCCGTTTTTCTCAGCGTCCTTTTATCACTTCCCATCGGCAAACTAAAGTAATTTTGCTATTTCTTCTCGCCTTGTGCCTTCGCTTATTGACAAAGATAACAATTGCGCGTGAAAGAACACGTCATTGTTCTCAAATCATGTGAATAGAATTTTTACTCACACATAGTTACAGTTGCTCGAAGAAATAACGGAAAAATGGCTTATTATCGCGTTATTGTTGCGTATTATTATCATCAATTCGGCTAAAAAATTAAATTTGATTGAATATTTGTCTTGAAAATGATATATGGCCTGTCGACTTTTTCTGAAATATAAAACGACAGTTTGATTGGTTCAAGAAGGCATGAATTGATTTACTATATATACAATAAAAGTATTTTTCAGCACCTGATCTCTATTGTCGGGCAAGAATAATATATATAGTAATTTTGCAGTATGAATTTTAATGTCACATATAGCACAGATCATTAATGTACCAATAATTGAGGTTAATCGATTGGCCAGCTGATTGAATTGATTACCGGATATTAATGGGCCACAGAAACGCGCGTTGCGAGTTGACACGGTTAAATTTGTAGATAAATACCGCATATGCCTACATGTTGTAGCATGCTCATGTAATGATATGCAACATAATATTATGCTGTCCATTGTAAAACAAAATGAAAATATGCTCAAAATGAAAATATGCTTTTATAATAAATGATATCAATACTACATGGTATTAAAAAACAGAGTTAAATCGTATCATCTATAATTATAATATGAATTTAGTTCAAATTCTTTATATGATTAATTTCTTTCGAGATCGAATTAAAGCATTTTATAGTCAATTATTTTCCTAAAGAACAATATTGATGTTAGTTTTGCACAATTAACTTTCTATAGACTTATTTAGTTAAATATCTCGATATTCAGTATTTTTACCAAATAAAAATGTCATTGAAAAAAATAAACTAAAAATTGAATCGAAGGTAAACGGAACTTTTCAATCAAGGTTTCATTGCTTTTATTTGATATTCCACATAAATAAATTAAAACATTTACTATCTCTGGTAGTATAATGTTTCAATTATAAATATATTTGATTATATCTTGATTTTTATTTTTCTTATACTGTCACATTATTATGATTTGATCAGCCGAATGCGTGCCGTCGAAAACATATAATCACTTAATGTAAATTGCTGATACCTTCTGCAATGCGTATACATAATCAGCGCTCATTATTCGTTGATTAATTAACGATGATATTAGATATGTTATTTAAATCCATCTATGTTATGTATATAATTTATAAGTCTGGTTATTAATTGTTTGTGGATAATAAAAATTAAATCTCCAATAACCATCGCAATTTTTTTTTATTAAATAAAAATGTCAATCTGATATCTTTGAAAATAAAAATGTCATTGAAAAAGGTAAACTAAAAAACTGATTCAAATTGAATCGAAAGTAAACAGAACTTTTTAATCGATTTTTCATTGCTTTTATTTGATGCCTCACGAAAATATGTAGAATACTTACTATTTTTCTCTAGTAGTTTGCTTTGATTATGAACATATTTGATTATATTGGTTTTAGCATAATACAATAAATATGCCAACAAGATGAGCTTAATCCAAATATTTAATTTAGTAGCTTACGTCAAAGGATTTCTTGCGCAGCCTCATGATGCAATTTTCATTATACGACTGTAGCAGGTAGATCATTTATTATTCGAAGAGTTGCTTCAACTTTGTGAAAATTTTATCAAAGGTACGGAAGAGTTTATTTAACCAGTTTTCAGCAACGTTTTATTAAAGAACTCTTGTTTTCTTGTTGCGTTTATTCTTAAAAAATAATAACTTATTATTCTATTTGTCGCACAGGCAAAACATGCGACATAATAATGTAAATTTTGTTCCGCAAAAAGTAACGATTATTTTTCTTTTCGTTAAAAGCTTCTAGTCTGGGACAACAATTGGTGGGAATGCAATGCAAATGCCACGTGTTCCCAAGTATTCATTAATTTGGTTAAATGGCGCGATTATTTTGGCTTCATGAAAGCATGCGAAATCGCAATACAACCGCGGTGGTGCGTACTTCTTTGAGCTCATGCGTTTCACGCTTTTCTTTTTTTTTTCTTTTTCATTCCGTACCGGAGCCACTTCAATTACATTAATTAAACCACCCACACGTACACGCATTACAAGCGAAACAATAGCAGACCTTTTCGACGGCCGCCGGAATTGTCACAGGGCGGAGCATTTCAAGTAGATTCGTTGCCGCGCACATGCAATCTCCGGCGGAGAATGGGCTCGCACAACCCTGAACACTCACTACATCGTACGTGGCAGTAAAGAAGTGCATAAAGTCTCGTTAATCCGTGCTCGGCGTACTGGAATTCAATTCGGACGAACGCCATGGAAGTGGCGATCTCATTTGCTGCAGGGTGGGATCGTTAATCAAATTCGCGGTGCGATGAATACGATAGTAGGCTCCTGTGAGTTTTTGCCCCGCCTGTTTTTACAAACGAACGACGCATATGCAACGCGGTGGAAAGTGCAGTAGTCCAGCATCGTTATCTTGCAAAGCAGATTGAGAATGCGCTAATGACAAATATTAATTGAAAATTATAGAATGCTTTTTACGTATACCTTATATAAGATTTTCACGCGTATGACAATAACAATTCTAGTTTCTTTTTAATTAAATTCTATTTTAGAAATGGACATTCTAGACGAGTTATAGGATACCCTCGACAGTGTTTACTGAACTAAATATTAATACGTACTACCACGGGAATACGTTTTATTTACCGCTGCCCGATAATGCGTTATAACCAACGGCAAATTTAATGCTGTTTATTAATATTGGAATTTGATAAATAGCTGGAGCGTAGGAATTTTTATTAAAAGCGAAGATCCCAAGCACGCTGATAATTTACGGTACTCGTAATTTGCCGATCAATAACGCATATATCTATTCAATTAAGAAAGTACGTTTTTGGCAATTTGATAATTATTGCACAGAACGCTTTAATATTAAAGAAATCTAAGTAGGTAATAGCAATTTTTAAGCTTCATATAATAATTATGGATTTCTTTAACTATTTGCTCTATTGAAGTAGAATCTTGTAACTATAGATATTATATATACGTATCACACGTGTAATGCGTGAAATTGCGTGCAATATAAAAAAGATGTGTTAAATATATTATTTTATTTCAACAACGTATACACAATTAACAATTAACAGATATATTACTGGATTATTATATAATATGAGGGATAATGTGGGTAATAGGAATGAGAAAGAGTAACAGAATCCAATTCAAAAGCAGCTGGTGGTATCTCTTGAGTAACAAGGTTTAATGTCCCTTCTTGTATTCCCATTTCTTATGATCTTCGTGTCCACCCTTCTTGCCATGATGATGATGATGGTGATGATGCTCATGATGATCGTGGTGACCTTTGTGTCCCTTATGATCATGATGATGATGGCCTTTCTCGTGATGACCTTTCTTACCATGATGTCCCTCATGATGATGATGATCATGATGTCCTTTCTTAAAGTGACCACCCTTCTTATGTCCATGTTCGTGATGATGTCCACCGTGTTCGTCATGGTGACCATGATCGTGATGTTCGTCGAAGAATTCCTTATCCTTCTTGTATTCATCCTTCTTGTTTACTTCATGATGGCCATGAGTACTGTGGCCTTTGCCATAGTGGCCTTTCTCATGGAACTTATGACCCTTCTCCCCCTTTTCACCATGATGATGTTCATGATGATGACCATCGTCATGATGATGATGCTTCTTATGTCCTCCGTGCTCGTCATGATGCCCATGATGATGCTCTTTGTGATGATGTCCTTTTTCACCTTTTCCGTGATGATGGTGGTGCTTATAATCTTTGTGACCATGATCGCCATGTTCATGATGATGACCGGAATGATGCTCCTCCCCGCCGCCATGTTCATGATGATGACCATGATGACCATGATGACTGGCTGCTACCTGAAGATCGTTGTAATCATTCCTGGTAATTTCACGTGCAGTGGTCACGCAATTAGTGGCAATATAAATTGTTACAAAAATTGTTATTAGTGGCAATACACGACGTAATGAAAACATGATAACAATTGTTTTGTAAATACTCAATCTATTAGTCACATTAATAATTGTCTTAGCGACTAGTCTCTTAATAAAGCGTCTAAGCGCTTTCTAGCAATGCAAGCTATATGATGTAGCGATTCGTGGGGTGTTATTTATATTGCGATTCTGGTGCAGTGAGCCATCAAATTTTGTAAGAAAAAGTATATATTTTTATAAATAAAAGATGAGAGGGGGAGTTCCATTTCATTTCCTCCGTTGCGGTAAGTTATATGAAGTCTGTTCTATTTTGTAATTTACCACTTGTTTAAAGTTATATAAATGGAATTACGTGATACTGATTAAACTTCCTTTATTGATTTTCAATAGTTCGCTGAACCTACGGTAGAAAGTTACACTGTGTCAATATTGTCTTTTATTGTATAAATTTAAAACTAAATATAAAAAATGAAAATAAATATGTCTATTAAAACAGTTATGAGAGAATTTTTATTCTTATAATTTAATCCAGATTTATACGTCTATTGTAGTCAACAGAATATGGGTTATCATATATCATTTTATACATCTCTATAAATTATTAAAAAATGTTTTAACGATTTTATAGGTTTTAATTTTCAGTGCACGGAAAAACTTAACATTACATTATTAATATTCCATTAATTCTTTCAAAATATTCACATTTAATTAAATATTCAAATTTAAATTTGATATAAAAGATAACATTGATATAAATTCATGTAATATCTCCATAACATTAGTTAAGATCAGACACATAGTTAAGACTAGATGTTGCGTGCATTAATAAGATTTTTTCAGAATGTTAAAATGTCTTAATGTTTCATGCTTATCTATGTGTTTATCCTATCTCCTAGTCATATATTTATTTAAAGAAAAAGTTATACGATAAACTAAAGTTATTCGATAAACTTTTAATTCTTTAATATGTGCATTAGATAATATTCAATTTTTTTAAATGTAAAAACATCAATAAAAATATCGCATAATATAATAAATATGTAGGACATTTAGGTAAAGATTATAGATAGATATAAATAAATAATAAAATGCAGTTTGTATTCATGAGGCTTGTATATTAAAAGCACAATTTCATCATATCAATTTGATAACAGCTAAATACAATTGCGTGTTTTGATATAAGAAATAGTAAATATATTATTTTAGATGAATATTATAAACTTTCAGTTATGGATACGTATAGGGGTTATTAGAAGAAATAATGCATTCAGTTATGGTTGGTATAGGCATTTTAATTTTTCAATAACGAAGTAAATCCATTATTATTTGACATCTTAAAAATAATCAACGAAAGAACAATAAACAAATGGTACAACAATTTATTCTGTTTGTGTCGCACTAAATTGACAAGTTTTATATCGTTAATGATGATGATGGTGACCGTGGTGACCGTGATGGCCGTGATGACCGTGATGGCCGTGATGACCGTGATGACCATGATGGCCGTGATGGCCGTGATGGCCGTGATGGCCGTGATGGTCGCCATGGCCGCTCGAATAACCATGCTTTTTGCCGCCATGATGTTCATGCTTCTTTCCGTGATCTTCGTGGTGATGATGATGTTCTTCGTGACCATGTTTACCATGATGACCATGATGATCTTCATCATAATGCCCTTTATCATGGTGACCCTTCTTACCGTGGTGATCTTCATGATGACCAGAATGATGATGTCCGCCTTTCTTATGGTGACCTTCCTTGCCATGGTGATGTTCATGATGATCGCCATGTTTCTCATGATGGCCACCCTTATGATAATCATCGTAGAATTTATGTTCCTTGTGGAATTCATCTTTATGGGATTTGTGATGATAGCCATGAGTCTTTTCGCCCTTTTTATGACCCTTTCCATGACCAAACTTCGACTCTTTATGGCCGTGTTCATGCTCGTGATGATGACCGTGCTCGTCGTGTTCGTCGTGATGACCTTTCTTATGACCGCCATGCTCGTGATGATGACCCTCATGATGTTCCTTACCATGGTCTCCATGTTCTCCTTCTTCGTGATGATGATGTCCCTTATGACCTTTATGACCCTCTTCACCGTGTTCTCCATGGTGATGAGAATGATGCTCATGACCTCCACCATGTTCGTGATGATGGCCACCATGGTGATGGCCACCATGGTGATGGCCATGGTGATGAGTACCAGCTATCTCCAAATCTTCTTTTAAACTTCGGACATCTCGCGCCGAAGATATGGCAATGACCGTGCATATCACAGCCAATCCCAAAAACAAACATGAACCTACGTATTTAGCCATGTTGGAACTCTGTAGAACCAACAAGTGCAATTGACTGCCCAACAATCTTTAAAGCAAAGCTTATATACCTGCGGTTCCACCAATGCTTTGTACGTAATCACTTTCGTTCCTTCGCTCTTGTTCGAACACAATACAGCATTCGTATTTCGTAAAACATTTGTTCGTACTATATATTATTGCTTGAATGCGCTGTTAGTTATATATAGAACTATTGTCAATCGTAAGTTACTTAATAAACTTGATATGAAATAGAAAAATAAAAAAGAGAGAAAAAAGAGAGGAAAAATTAAACAATATGCAATTATGTCATTATTACGTCATTTATACATTAAAATTACATCAAAACTTGTTAAAAAATATTAAGCAAATTGCAACATGCGTGTAATATA